TGAAACTAATCACTGTTATTTTTAATACACACAGTTATTCAAAAAACAAAAATTGTGTTGAAAAGGAAAATCTGCAATTTTAATAGATATAATAAAATGTTTGTATACCAGTTTATTTTATTGAAAAAATAATGAATGGGAACACTGTATTTGATTCAAATATGTGGATACCTGTTTCTTCTTGCCTGGTTATTCAAATTATAATTTTTTTTCAAATAATACATATATAAATTTTATATAATTAGGGTGAGGGCGCAGCTCTGATCGATACCGTCGAGGCAGGAATTCTGGATCTATATTTGACAAAGGAATGGGCGATGAAATATGCAGTGAATGCAGCGTGTACCGTTCTCAAAGTAGATCAAATTATTATGGCGAAACGAGCAGGCGGTCCGAAGGCTCCAGCGGGAGGACCTCGTGAGGAAGATGACTAATAGAACAAGATGAGAACACTAAATCAGCGAAAAAATCATAAACTTTTACGTTTAATTTTGCATTTTATTTATATTTACAAATTCAATATATTTGGAACGTCGATGAGGAAGTAGAACGAGTAAAAGATAACTTACTCCTTCAGTGCTTCATTCAACGTGATTGCAAAGATGAAGATGTATTTTCTATCGCAAATCCGCCTAGAAATGAAAATTTCTACAATTTTCTATTTTCATCTAATCTGAATTGTAAGAGTATTAAATAAATTGTTAAATATATCTAATATGTATTCAGTTCTTACTTCTTTTCTTTACTTTTATTGAAATCTGAATAAAATAGAAGATAGTTGAAAAGAATGAAAATAGTTACATGTAAGAACAATTATATATCCATATTCCAAGGAAAAAAGATATATAATTAAGAACCAGGTGCAATAAAACAAATTCTTTTCCTTTCCAATGTTTATTAATTGCCTTTTAATTAGCTTCGATTTTCTCATATATTTGTAAATATTTCAACTTCGTTTTGGAATTATAATTTTAATTCACGATCTTATCTTGAGAGATCGCCAGTGTCTTTTACGTGTATTTGCCGCCTTTACTGCTGTGCATGTTTACTATTCGTTTATATCTATTTGTTATTTATTGAAGAAAAATAATTTAAGGTTCAACTGTAACGATGTTTCGTAAAGTAAGTAATTCTACTGCAATTACATGTGAACAAAATATAAAATCATTTCAAATTAAAGCACGTAAATTTCAATTCACGTGTGCTCTATTTTAGGTTATCTTAGGAACACGCAGTCAAATCTGTCGATTAAACAATTTAAGATTCTTATCACAAGAAGCGAAAGAAGCTACGAAAATAGAAAAGAGTAAGTACGTAATTGCATTAAAAATTATTTGACAGATATTGAGATGCGTAGGCGTCTGAATACTCATGTCATATATCATCTATGTTAATCACTATATAAACATAGATATTGACAAATATGATTTATTTCTACCTCTTCCTGTTTTAGAAATAAAATATAGAAATTATTGTTCAATGACCATGTTTTTAAGAATTCTTTTGTTTTAATTGTAGCTGTAAATAATGTAACCTTACTTGGAAGAGTTGGAGCAGAACCTCAGAAACGTGGAAGCACTGAACATCCAGTTGTAATATTCTCCATTGCGACACATACAAATTATAAATATGAAACAGGTAACATGATCAATATATAATTTTAGAAATGAAGAATATTATGTACCAATAATTATATCGGTTATCTATTTTTTTTCTAGGTGATTTTATGCAAAGAACTGATTGGCACAAAATATGTGTCTTTAAACCTAATTTGAGAGATGCTGTATATAACTATTTAAGAAAAGGTCAGCGAGTAATGGTAAATGGTAGGATAAGTTACAGTGAATTTAAAGATGAGGAAGGGAATTCACGTCCCAGTACAGCTATCATAGCAGATGATGTAATATTCTTTCAATAAGGAACCTTTTATATACTATGTACAAATACTACATATTTTTTTCAATAAAATTGGTATAAACTTGTAAATTTCCTCTCTTCCAATTTAATTTATATCATATTATTTTTAATTAGATAATAAAAAGTTTTTATTAAAAAGCAAAGCTACATTCATGAAAACTAATGTATGAGGAATTCACAAAGTATTGATGTTGAAATAATAAGTTTCACATGTGTGAATATTGATAAGATTTTAAAGATATTCGTAAAAAGAATTTATTTTTAGCAGGTTGAATTTTGGGTTAGAGAGAGTGAATTATAAGAGAATAGTACACACATGTTCTTAATAACTAAATAAGTCTATATTTACAACATTCATCAATTCATATGTACTCTTCGTATAACAACTTATATAATAAAACAGCCCTAATCTCTAGAATTTTACATGTTTTATTTTATACACGCGAAACGATATATAAACTTTTTCAATCTTAGATCTTAAGAGACGCATTGCTTCACATTATAGTATTATCTGTCTTCATATATGCTGTATATAACGTGTATATATATATATATATATTTATTTATTTATTTATACATAAACTGCCATGTTTTTTTCTTTGACAATTAGTCACGTGAAAATTATTTACACGACTGTAAACAAAAAAAAAAGATGTACATATATATCTTTCTCTTATCTCAATAACATCACGCAGGTTGTGTTCTTCAAAACAGACGACGACTCGTCTAAGTGTGCACGATGCACATACATTTCATACATAATATCTATTAACTAATACCAACTGCTTTTTTTCATTATATAGTGTAGAGATCACAGTATACAAAGCCAAATATTTCTTAATATGTTATTTATCCATACGCTTGACAAAACTCACTTTCTCTCTTGCACTCATACTTCAATTCTCTCATACTTTCTCAGTTTTATATTCTCAAGTGCAAAAATACAATTAGTAATCTTCTTAAAACTTGTTTTCTAATTATGTACGGGTCTTCGCGCTTCTTTTTCACGATTTATTTCGCAGACAATCGTCGGATAAAGAGTCGTGGAATGTGAAGCCACAATCGCAACAAACATAGAAATTTCGAATATAAATTTTGATAGTAAAATATATATATATGTATATATACTTTTTTTCTATAGATAAATTTATATACTCTAACTCTGGCCCCGAATTTTCATAAAATTCTTTCGCTATTCTTCTAATATATTCTTCGTCTTATTTTTTCCTTCTATTCGCATTTACAATTCATTAGTTCAATTATGTACATCTACAACACATAATCGATTATACGACACTCGGTTACAACGCGTTTTATTTTACATAACGCATATATCGAGCGCGAGCGATACAATACTTGGTTCCAAAATTGTGATATATCGAGTTTTTTTTTTTGAACGATCGATTAAATACATATAACTAAATATCGTTCACTTATAAACGGCAAATATTCTTGGCACAAATACGTCAAAGTAACGGAGAACCGTTTCAGAAGAGCTTGAGAAAATCCAATTAAATCTCTCTTTTCTAATACTCACTTTACAGAGTCATACATAAAAAATCTCATTAAACTATCGAAAGATTTTGTCAAGCTCTGTATATTCTTCGGAAATCTCATGGAAACGTTTGTAACGTATTATAATTTTTCTGTGATGCATTTACACATTTGAATGTCTCAAATCAAGTAGAGTCTCTCTTTGGGATTGACCTTATTCGCGGACTACGTTTCGCCAAAAATAAAGTCACATCACAGAACGTATGCTTAAGATTAAGAAAAGAAAAAGAGAGACATTAAAGAAAGGAAAGACCTGGTAACAGTTCTCTCTCTCTGGCATTCTTTGTACATTGAATCATTGTATGTATGCTGTTAAGCGCACCTATAAGTTCGTACACGTCTCGTCGTTGTAAAAGCGGAAAGGAAATTGCCCGACAATTCGCATGGGTGATTTGCCCAGTTACGAGGGAAGCGGAAAAGAGGATAGGGCGGAATATCCGCGAAGATTCAGCAGCTTCGGACATCGAAGCGTCTATCATTATCTCCGGCGCACAACGATTCAACGCGAATCCGAGTGAGGACGGAAGGCGGCGAATCTCGTTATCCAATTTGCGCCGTGAGAGGTGGTATTGGCAAAACGGGCTTTCTTCCCGCACTCCTTATCACATTCGTACACGACGTAACAACGACAAAAATGAAGAGTCTTTGGATGATTGTAACTTTGAACTGTCCTCGACAGACAGAGAAAAAGCACGAAGAATCTAATTTTTTGATCCCTCAAGAATCATCTCTGGAACGTCAATGTGCCTCAATGTGAATTGGATAAACGAGAAAGTTTACTCGCCTTCCTCTATTCTGACGCATATTTTCAAGAAAGTCTCATACATGCGAATCGTATTTCGAGAGTCCTTCAATTTATCGCGATTACATTCGACAAACTTCTCAGTCATTCTTATACTTTTCTCCATCAATCACTAATTATCTCGTCATTATCTTGTCCTCCTAGACCTCGTCATCGAGGTTACGCTTTTCGAAATCCATCTGTTCTCTTCCTCTTCAGAAGACGTTTCTTCATGTGGATATCTCATTCTTATCAACAAACCGATGAACCAACCGGATGGAGTAGATGTTCACTCAATTTCTAATCTCGCTCTGCGCTCTGTCGATCGGTTGTCAATATGGAACCCTTGTTACGTAGAGTTCGTTTCACCGCCAGCTCTCAGTCTGCCGCGGCGCGATTAACAATTAGGCGCGATCATAGCTTTCCATCGCTAGGTCCCGCGTCACTTCCTCTCTTCCGGTTCCTGATTGGTCTTAACGAGGTTGTATGCGTGACTTCTGTACTTGGCAGGTGGATCGTGCAGTGGCAAGGGCTGCTGCTGTTGCTGCTCGCTCGATGGCTGGTTCATACTGGACATCGAGAGATCCGTCGGCATATCCGCTTCCGGTTCCGTTTCAGGACTCCCAGAGAGAGCGCCTTCTTCTTCTGGTTCCGATTTTATTCGCATTTGATGGCGCAGCGACGATATATTTTTGATGTTCTTCAACTCAACCGAGTTACGTAAAAATCTGCAACAAACAAAGATAATCGTTTTTTATCCGAAGACAAAACAATTTTGATATATTCTAAGCGGAATTGATTTATAAACTGTAATAGTAGAAAAAACAGCAAAAATAAATTTTGACTATTTTTCTTTTTTAAATTCACGATTCAAAATTAATAAATCTTCGCACATACATTACTAATGCGTGACATAATTATTCTATCGCAACTATTTTACATATATAACGATACTTAATTATATATATAACAAATACTCACTGATAACAATGTCGTTCGCCTTGAACTTTTCTAAGTATGTTCACACGATAGTAATAACGTAACGCTCTGCTCATCTTATCATAATTCATAGAAAGATGATTTTTTTGGATGCCCCAGAGTCGCGCCAGACCCGGCGGATCGACGATCTTGAACACGCCAGTGTCCCGACTTTTCCACGCGATAAAATTGTGATACCGTTGCTGGGGGTCATTCAGCAACTGCTGAAGGAAGTCCCAGAGTAGTCTTCCATCTAAACAGAAATTGCTACAATGTGAATAATGTAAGTCGTGGGAAAATGAAAGCAATATGGTATTACAAGATTTTATATTTAATAAAGTCTTTATATACCAATCAACGCACAAATAATACTAATTAAAGCGGATGCACACGTGTACGATTCAAATAACAAAAAAAAAAAAAAAAAAAAAAAAACTGACCTCTCTTAGACCCTTGCATCAGATGTTACGCTTCCATATCTTACGCTCTAACGTAAGCTAAAAAGCAGTCTGACTATACAGCAGTATGACTATACTAACTGGTGTTAGGTTCTGACGAGTCGCTGGGGAAGAATTCTCTGGCCGCAGTAGTCGATCGGAAAGCACCGGGTGTCAACGGCATCAACTGCGACGGCAATGTCGGACTCGGTTGATCCTTGACGCTCACCTCGCTGAGCCTCTGCGCCGTCAAAGCCGTCGGCGTAGGCGGCGGGCTGCTGTTACCGCTCGATACCTGGTGATTGTTATCCTCGTCCGAATCACTCTTGTAGACCTGCGTCTGATTCGCGTCGGTCGCGTGGCTGGGCGAGCCCGATTGACTGTCCACGGACGGCGCCGGTGACAGGGTCACCGAGTTGGCCGACATCAGAGATGCGAGATTCTGGGCGTACGGCGGCGTCTCCGTGGTCCACGTGGGTGTGGGCGGATGCGAGAGCGGACTCAGGGGATACGCGGACGACCTGGTCGGGGTCACCGGGCTGCTCGGCAGACACCTCTGCAGCTGGCTGTAATCGCGCACCAGCATGCTGAGCACGTTGTGCAGCACGTCACCGGCGCCTGGACACCTATCGCCCAAATCGGCCTTCGTCAACAGGCACAACGCCTTGCCATTCATCTGGAACATGTCCATGTCGAACGGTGGCAGATCGAATTCCTGCTCGGCCCACCGCAGAAATGCCACCACATCCTCCCGCGACCACAATCTAGGATCGGACACTGGAAAGGAAAGCATGCCATTGTACAATATACGGCCTTCGTGCAATGTAACATTGTTTATATAATATATTTTATAATCAATTTGCTCTCTTTTTATAAACAATAGCGAATGAGATTGAAATAAATTATGCAAATTATAATCTTGAAAGAACAAATTATACTATCTTGTATTTAAGGTAATACAAAAATTCTATGAAAGTCGAAAATCTCGTGGCAAAATAAAATCTCAATTTTATAGACTTGCCAAGAACGTTGTTAATTTCGTGTTACACACTTACCTAGACTCGTTGGTAAATGAGTTTTGAAATCCAGAAAGGGACTGGTCGGCGGATGCGTCGCAGGTGGAAAGTTTAGCGAGAACCCATATTGACAATGAGTTCTCCAGAATATATCCGCCGGAGTGAAAGGCAACGATCTACCCGGTGGTAGCCGGGAATCCATTCCGGTCATTCCGCCTGCAGCGGAAACCGGCGATAGCGGAATCGATGGCAACAATTTCATAACACGCCCTTGGAGCCGGTGGCTTCTGCAACAGAAGAAACGATGGGATTTATTAATTAATAGGTTCGTACGATTTTAGACAAATTTCGTAATAAATAAAATCAGTTAATATAAACGCGCTTTTATAATTAAATGAACTACTTCAATATATCATCCGCACTACTCCTTAAAAATTAGAATCATGATTTCATTAAATTTCAAATGCTGCAACGTCACGGTTTGATCAACTTATTATAAACACGAAGGCGAAGAACGAAAAATACATAGTTGAAAAATTTGTTATAAATTTCACAGATATCACATGTCCTAAACGTTAATATTTTAACGCAAAACTTAAGTAATTTAAAATAAATTTTGTATAAAATTAACAGAGAGTTTTAATGTAAAAATTAACTTAAAAATATGTTAATTTAAAATTTTATCATCTCCAATTATATTATAAAATCATTTTTTTCTGTAAATTTAACAGACAAATCTTGTCGCTAATAAAAACATATTTATTGTAAAATTAAAACTACATATTGTGTTATTTTTTCAATTGGTTTATAGAATAATTGAACATTCAATTAACACAACCGCAATATGTCAAATTAACACATGAATGTGTGAGAGATTTAAGACAAAAATGTTTACCGTTCCCAAGAAGAAAAGACAAATTTTCCTACTGTGTACACAGAATTATTTCTATATTTATTCGCGACTACGGAGGAAACGCGACATTGACGTAAAGTGCAATCTCCGTACACTCCGTCGTGCGTCGTCGAAAATTGATCTCTAGCATATACATATAGCGATCTCTGTACCTCGTCTAACGAGCCGGCGACGTAACGATCGCTCGCTTCCCCTCGACGTACAATGACGGAAGATAATAGCGCCAGATTACACGCCGGCTTCTTACAACGCAAGCGAGGTCGTGCAAACTCGCGAGAAGAAGAGACGAACGTCGCGACGGCGTCATCCTCGCCGTCTTTTCCGACCAGTTCGCAGACTATCGTCGTCGACTATTAGCATAGAATATGGGGGCATAAGAATGAAAGCTGGCAGGAAACGAGGATTTACATAACGTATTTCTATCGACGTAGACGCGAAGCTATTTCCGTTCTCGACGTCGCGTCGACTCGCGAAGGATCCGACAGGCTAACGCGAAACTTTACCGTTTCGACGGAAAACTCTCTCTCTCTCTCTCGGGCTCAGCTTCGCTGTTCATCTCGAAATCTCTTCGGCTAATTGCTCCCGAAAGTTTAGTTCGCTTATGACACCGCAGAATTACGAGTGTACCCGAAATCTTAGGCAAGAATATCCCTACACTTTCAGAGATTTATCGTTGAAATTCAGGCTGAGTTAGCCTGTATGCAAAGTTAATATCGGTTAGTAGGATATAAGAGTTACGCATCTTGCGGTATATATATGTATATATATAGAACAGAGTTGGCTATATACGCGAAAGATTGTAATAACGAATCGTTATGTCGAGAGCACATAAATAAAAAGAGCTTAATTTGTTATAAAGTAGTGCGATTTCCTCACCTCTCGCGCTAATGACACTATCTATATGATAATCATATGCTTATAATCCTTGTCTCTAAATACGTTCACTAACGAGCTGGAACGATTGCGCGATTAATGTCGCGATAGTATTACAATTTCTTGCGCATTAACTTATCATAATATTAAAAAAAAAAAATAGATCATGATTTGATTTAATGTATTTCTCAATAAACACTTTGACGTCATCACGTTCGAGGCTCTGCGTAAAACACGTATTAATCATCGCTGAAGTATAGCATGATTAGATCAAACTATATATCATCGCTATTTGAATAATTGACGATATGAAAAATTACAGACACACACAAAATATTTTCATTTTAATCAATATTTCGTAATTTTTATCTATATCATTGGGTTTACTGTATCAGCTCTAAATATCAAAAATATCAGAATAAAAATCTAAAGACAATTATAATTAAATCTTCGCCGAAAGAAGTTGATTTCCAAATTTTTCTGAAAATAAAGTCCAATTCGCTATTTGGGTTTTTTTAGATCGAAATTTAGCAATCGAACTCCAGCATATTTCTAGCAAGAATCTCCTTCATGATGCTGAAAAATAATCGCAAGAAGCTGTCGACGGTGCTCTTCTCATTCGAGAAGAGAAACAGAGAGAAGTACCCTGAGGGAAGAAGGCAGAAACCTCGGCATGCGAAGGTCGATGTGCCGTTGTCTCGCACCAGGAAATCCTGGTCGTCTCTTCGGTCTTTCCTTCCTCCCGCCTGTTTCCTCTTCTCCTCTTTAAATACCGCGAATGGCCTTATACTCAGGTGCTCCTTTAAGCCGGTAATTTTTGCCGCTCAACTAATTAAAACAGCTACTTGAAGTGCGGCGTCGAAGAATGAATTCGAGGATCGTCTTCCCGTAAATTTACATCGCGCCTCTGCTTCATAATATTGCTTCTCTGCCTTCTTCTATTGTTGTGCCTTTTTCTATTGTTCTGATTTTTTTTCTATTTTGAAAAATCGTCTTGAAGATGTCTCTATTATTCTTCATAAATAAATAATTGGAACAGAATTCACTTCAATAGACCGCGCAGACTTGATTGTTAAATTATTTAATCTCGAAAGAAGAGGATTAAGCAGCAGAGAATTTAAAAGAACAATGGTACATGAGAAAACGTAAATCTGTGACATACTTAATTTTAGGAAATCGAAGCTTTGAGGAATGAAATGTCAAAAAATGCAATTTCGAACTTTTTATTTCGATTGCGATCTCCCTCGAGATTATTTTAACGTTGAAATGTTCTCTCAAAAATAAAGAGAATGATAATTGTGCTAAACATACAATCCTCTCTTTCTCTCATTCGGATACATAAAAATTAATTTTTTCCTTAATAAGAAAATATGCGGGATTTTGCAATTCATTCAGCGTGTTACTGGCGATGTTTTTTTCATTGACGAGGAAAAAGCCATGAATCACGATGCAGTAACAGCAAAGTATTGCAACATAGTTCGCGATTTCCGGTGCGCGATTGAAGGACGGAAACGCGTTCGATCGCGACAAGAAGACATCGAGATTTCCACGTCGTCTATTTTTTTTTTACATCACAATGCAGTCACTTAAGGAACCGTCTAAGAAAACGTTTAAGGAAATCTTTTTAAAAATTTGAAAAGTTTCTCTTCTTGACTAGTTCTTTTTATTGACCCTTTTAGATTTTTTTCTTCCTCGATGTCTCTAATTATCAAAAGAATGGATTAAATTAACTCGCAAAGAGAAAATTACGAATTTCATACTTTATCTTTTCTTCTTTTCATCGCTTCTCTTTTTCTCTCTTTTGCTCCATTCTGTTTCTTCATTCTGTTATTATTTCTTTTCGTTCTTTTGACCTAATAAACTTCATAACATAAAGAATGCGATGACCTTGATTACGTCATCTTGCTTACGATCGATCTTTTTACGGCCGGATTTCCCGACGCGAAAAAGCTCTCGGCAAATCATCGTCGCAAATGTGTTTACATTTTGTCGCAAAGCATCGCGTGTCGAATAACTCGGAAGTCGTGTAGAAACGAGCACGATAATCGTTCGTGTATAGAAGATAGTGTTGTAATTCGATAGTGATTGTCGCTCGCCACATATATTTCAAATGAGTCTGCCGCGTGTCGGCTCGTAAACATTACTAAAAGTGAGCCTTAATTTATCTGGCGTTGCGCAAATTGTCCACGTGGGTAATGAGGAAATAAACGTCAGATTATTCGCATGCGAACATATAAGTGTCCTATAATGTGCATGAAAATACACGGGAAAAAAAACATTTCGCGTCCTATCAGCTGTGTATAATGTCTCGCGATCTCGAGATGACATAAAGATAGAAGTATTAAAACTAACAATATAAGAGCATTTAAATAATTTCATTGTAACGTGGTAATATCTTCTTAATCTCAAGATCATACACTATGCGAGAGATAATTGAAATGTAGAGTTTGAACGTTTCCGAGAAATGTATGTAAATTGGAGATTTTATACTGACATACTAATGCTACTTAAACGACACACTGCACGCTGGATTTAAATACAAACACATATTCACGGCTCATTTTCTCGTGTCTTTAGCAGCTTTTTCCTGCATTCCCGCAATATGACGCGATTGAATTTAAATCGTGCTGACCGCGAAAAATGCATAAGAATATTTACGCACGACATCCCGAAACGTCGCGCAATCTTGCTAACGCGTAATTAACTGCGGCAACGTCAAAACGATTTTATAAAAAAAAAATTACAATCACCGAACATAAAAAAAACCGCATATTTCCTGTTGCGAGCGACAATTTAATCTTCGTACGTCAAACGCGCCTCATATATATATATATATATATAGACTTACATCTAATCGATCAGCTGATGAGATGGCAAAGGATCCGCGTGATTAGATTTCGTCTGTCTTGTCTCGATCTCCTTTCGCATCGTCGTCGTCGTCTCTTTGTCGATCGTCTCAGTCTCCTTAATGTCAGAGGTTCGTTATGCCTTATTCATATTGGCTCGCTAGGAAGACACATATACATATAGAATCAACCGGTTGCGTAACTCGTGCACGAGAAAACGACACGTGCGATTTGTTAAGATTTAATATGCACACGCACACATTCATATTCGTTCCGCGATATCGTCCAGCTTGCCGTCATTGTCGCGCGACATAAAATGAATGATCTGATGACGATGACTCTTCCGATGCATGTGCAGCAATCCGAAATCTTAAGCTATGTCCTCACTGGAGCAACAACTAACTTTTTGTTGATGTTCCATGTTTCTTATAAGAAAGTTGCTCGTCGTTGCTTCAGTGAACACGCAGCTTATACAATTTCTGGTAACATAACTAACTATAGCAATTTTTAAGAAACGAGAAACATCAACAAAAAGTTGCTCGTTGTTGCTCCAGTGAAGACGCAATTCTATGTCCTCACTGGAGCAACAACAACTTTTTACGAAATATAAAACGCCAACAAAAGTTGCTCGGTGTTACTCCAGTGAGAATGTAGCTTTAGGCCACGACTCACAGAGAAAACTATATGCAAAGAAAATGAATGTATAATTTAACGCGCCTGTATATACAAATGCAGCGAACAATGCGCATGTATATTTATAACACAATATCAAGTATTAATAAATTAATTTAATAAATATACTTGTCCTCTTTATACATATTTGTTTACAAGTTTTATTTATCGAAGGTGCCTCTTATCGATATATAGAGATATCGATTTCTAACTTATATATTTATAACTGCGCACATGAAGTCATCGAATCTCTTCGCGCGACAAGTATTTTTTTTTTTTAACACAAAAGTCATGGGAAAAGATCTCGACGCGAAAAACATCAGCGAGACTAATTAGCGGAGAATTTCGAAGACGAAAATAAGTGCTATATACGAAACGCGAATAGAACTGTTTCAACAACGTCGAGGAGCTCCAATGACGAGTCGATCGGGCTCGCAAGAAGAAGTCACGGCCTGGAAAGTGTAATCACCTCGGCCGATCATCATCGTCGGCTCTCCTCGAGAGAAGGAAGTAAGCAAGTACGCGCATCCGCGCAGCAAAACACATCCGCAGGCGGACACAAACGGACGACGGAGCGGCACAACAACCGGCCGATTTAACCGCGTTTCGCAACGTCGCGTCGCATCCCGATGGGGAATAAAAAGAAAACGATGCGCGATGAATAGCGAAGGTAATTCGAGGTGAGCTTTGACTCGCCTCGTATATCGCGCAAAACGATCATGCGCGAGCGACGATTAATGTGCATTAATAACACGATGCTGCGTGATAACGATCGCTGCTCTCGCCGATTATTATTGCGCGTTTGATCGTTATAGAATCGATTGGTCGCGCATATTATGTATATGTATATCAAGAATTTTATAGCGCGACATAATAATAATCTATTGAAATTTAGGGTGGTATCGCCAGTAGAAAATTTTAATTTTAATTTATTTAGTTGATCAAAACTGGCATCACTTTATTGTATGAAAAATTACATAACGACGTGAACCATTTATAATCTATGTTAAATTTCCAATCATCGATGATTTGATTCTATCTGTATTCGATAAGGACCACAAGTGGTGGTTGAAACGTTATGTAATTTTTCATACAATAAAGTGATGCCAGTCTTGGTGAACTAAATAAATTAAAATTTAAACAATAATAATCATCGGTGTTTTTATTCCAGAAAGTGAATCTAATCGCGAGCGACAGTTATTGAAGAGAGCACGGAGGACTTATTGTTGGACAGCGAACAATAATTCTATGAACGCGATATATATCGATTGCCACTTAATAGCGTGACGAATGAATCACACGGGAAATTACGGGCTATCGATGTACGATTTACATTACTTATATGTCGTTGTTGAAAATATCTCAATATAAAGTGCACGTGTATATCAAAAATCGCATTTTTCTTTTATAAATTCTGTTTTATGATCTTTTATTAGCAATCACGTGGGTGTGTGTTATACGATATAGAATTCGTAAAAAAAAGTGTTGCATTACAACGACACTTATCTTCTATTAACAAATTGGGTAAAAATAACAGAGGTATCGATGTACGCCTAAGGCGATCGCGACTTGCGTCTACGTGTATATATGTATACGTATATACATGTGTCGCAACCTTGTTCCGTGTACGTGTGGGTGAATGGGTGTGACATCTGAAAATACAACCAGGAAGTGGTATGTATAAGGAGGTATACACGTATATGCGTGGAATCGATCCACGCTCGAGGTGGTGGGAGGAGGAAACAGGAAGATCCTTGACGTGCGCTCGCGCGAACCAGGATTTAAGATTTATCATATATAATGCTCAGGAACGCGCAAAGGAGAACCTTATCTCCTCTTTCTCTCTCTTTCTGTCAAACACCCGTGGCGGTTTCTTCCTCTTTGCAACGTCCCTTCCGGGTTCCTTCACTTCCTGTCTCTTTCTCTTTCGTCCCCCAATATTCTCTCTCCTCTTTCTCTCTCTCTCTCTCTCTCTCTCTCTCTCTCTCTCTCTCTCTCTCTCTCTCTCGCTCGCTCGCTCGCTTACTCGCTCAGGCACGCACGTGGACACTTTATCGGTCACCGTCTTTGTCGAGTCGATGTCAAGGTATACTACTCTAGCACGAGTCATTAAATACGGATGTATATGTGTACTCTAGACATGTAAGCCGACGCGGTAATTGCGGACGTTGTAATAGCGATAGACCTCGAAACGATTTCCTCTTTTTTTGCAATTTTTATCTCATAGCATTCTTCCGTTTTATCTCTGTTATTTTTATTACTTTAGATTCTTTTCCAATGCATATTTATATTTCTAGATTGAAGAAAAACGTATATATAATATATTGTATATTTTTTCGTACCAAGTATTTCTGCTCCTCCGTTTCTGGTATTTTTTATCTCGCTACAAATTTCTCGTTATTGCTTCATTATGCGTATGATTCATTTAAAGTCTATACTCTCTTTTTCTCTCTACTGCAAATTCCCTTTATATTACATTCTAAAATTCTATGGCAATTCATATATATTATAGAGATACGCCTGTTAGATGTTGCATGTGTAATATAAAACTTTTAAATGTCAACATCCATTGTTTGCTATTGCAATCGATCTGTCACTAGCGCGCTAGATGTTGCTTTGCAGATAACAGCGAGTTGTTGATAACATAGCTTCCGGCATCGCCCCGTTTTCATTCGAAATATATATAGTATCTGCAGACTTTTATGAAATAAATTTGTACATGTCATATAACATCAATCAACTACAAAATTGGCGTTCGATTGAATGGCATTTATATCAAAATTTCAATTCATCTCCTAATTGACAAGGAATGAAAATTGACGGAGAATGCATTGTTGATATTAAATATGATATTAAATATCAATACGCGTAATGAATGAATTTGGCGGAAAAAAACAAATAAAAAAAGAACGAGCGTCAAAAATTTTCATTTTTCCAAAGAGTTCGTGGAAAATCTCGCGGAACTTTTTCCATAAAAATTTCCACTCGTTTCGCAAACGTTCGAATATCAGCGCGTGTATCATCGCAGACGTGATTCTACGAAGATGGACCGCAATAAGGAAATGCATTCGCAACACATGACACGTCTCAACGCAGATGACGCCATTGACCCGCCTCTTGACGCGCGATTCGGAAGAAATATCGTTCGCTATCTATCCTTTTCTCTTTATATCATCGTGCAGATAATCGAATAATCTTATCGCGCGAGTGTGTCTTTCGACCTTTATCGAGTACGAGAAACGGCGAGCTACGATCGTCGTAACACATTGATTTAAATGTCAATGATTGCGATTGATCCGAAGATCTTTTTCTTTCGCAATCTATAAAACAAATATATTGCAATAAATATTAATTATAAAAAATAGATATTTACTATATACAAATATTAAATTTTGTAGCGTCGCACTCTCTGGCGAGCGATACATTCATTTCAACGCTTTTTTTCAGTTTTCGACCCCTATATCGCGAGTGCAATTTTCGAAATAACCGGAGATCTCATCTCGAAACGTTTTGTCGCGAGTCGCGAGATTAAACGCGATCTGTAATACGAGACTAGATCTCCGTTAAATGTGTGCGCGCGCGATAAAAAAAAAGAGGAAAAAATATGCGCGATATCTCGAACTGCGCGTCATCGGCGAGTCGCGAATTACGCGCCGACCGCGTAATCGTGCGTGCTGTGCGGGCGCAAACATCGCGGACCTCAGGCTGGACCCCGAAGCGGTGTCGGTCGGGATCAGTCGGAGAAAGTCAAGAGAAGCGCAACAGAACACAAACATGCAACCAGCTGCTGCTACCGGGTAGCAATAACTATGTTCTGCCTCTTTATACTTCCCGCAGAGTGCGTCCTCCTTTGCTCTTTTATCGCTCACCGCGTGCCTCCGCTTTTGTTACAACGAAGACGACTCTTCGCAAATATCTGTCTACGCTCTTTGTGTGAATATACATCTCAATCTACCTGATGATTGTTAACTTTTAGGAAAAAGGGAGACAAATTGAAAAGGTATTGAAATGTCAAAATCATTGGATGTTGAAATGTCAAAATGATGATCAAGATATATTTTTGTTTATTAGACCATTTTCGCGGATTTGTATCCTTTTGTATACAAAATTGAAGATGATAATAAATCAAGTAATGTTTTATTATCTTTTATTATTTTCGATTTAAAGAAATAAGTCCACTGAGATTATTCGATTGAATGATGATAAGTTTAATTTCCTAATGTCAATTATTATTATATAATTGGTTCACTAAAGATTTAGATATAATGATACATGTACCGTTTCACTATAAAATTATATTATTTGTGAAATTTGATTCGTTTGAAACAGTTGATTTTATCAAAAAAAAAAAGGAAAAAAAGATTAGATAACGTGTTACGTATTCAATGATAAGAATGCAGACAATTGCGATGAACAACAAGAATAAACTTATTCTGCGTCAAGTAT